CTCAAACGAAACAAAGATCTGGCTCTAACGGGACAATATCTCGGTTGCAACTTCACCACGCGGGTTTAAGCACACGAATCATGGAATCAAGGCTGTAGATGATGGGAATGGACAGAGAGAGAGTGCTTTCAGAGGAAGAGGGAAGAAAACGGATGAATGAGACAAGAAAACGGTAAGGCGCCGCAGAGAATCTGCAGAGTTAGGCAGAATACCTTCATTGTAGCTCAGACTTGAGTTAAGGGGAATTCAAGGGGTGGTTGAATTCTAATTCTTCCACATTAACTCGAATTGTGATTTGAATCACAATTCGGACCGAGTTCACCGAACAACATTTTGGGTTGTGGACTCAACTTGAGTTGGGCTTACTTAAGTTGAGTCCACCAAACGAACACAGCCTAAATGGTGCTATAAACTTCATGTGTTTAAAAACTTGTGCTATAATTTACTAATCAGTCTACTAATTATGTCATTTCACTCATTCTCTTTAAAATGGGGTATTTATCAAGAGTAAGAGGTAAAAGTTCAGACTCATGCACTCTTAAAGATAAATTTTTCATTTTTTCTTGTAAAAATTTTCCTAAAACATTCCGGGTTAAGTAAACACACTAAGAAGAATGTAGTAAATTGGAAATTTTTAAAACTAAATTAAACAAATAACATATTTTAAAATTATTTAAAATAAATAATAATTTACATAGTAAATGGTTTATTTACAGTCAATAAAAACACATTTTTCATGTAAACGTTCTTTATATGATTGGTAAAAAGAATTGTTTTCAATATAAATAAAAAATTTTTAAGATTATTTATCACGTAAATTAATTTTTATCAATTGTAAATAAATTATTTACACAACATATGAATCATTTGTCAAGTTAAAATAGTTTTAAAATTGCAAAATCTTCATCGTTTCTTCGCATTCCAGCGTCCGACTTTCGGTTCTTCACAATCAATCTCCTTTCATTTCCTCCTTATTCGTTCGAAGTAAGTTTGGATTTTCCGTATCGAATAACACTTGTTTTTCTGGGTTTTTCTAATTGTTTTGTTTACGCGTTTGGATTTGAACAGAATGAAAGTGACCGCTGCGTATTTGTTGGCTGTTTTGGGAGGGAACGCTAATCCTTCCGCTTATGATATCAAGAACATTCTCGCCTCTGGTACTTCTGTTTTTAATAATTCACATTGGATTTTTTTGTTTATTTGAATTTTGTTTTCTATTTTTTTTTCCCAGTGTCAAATAATGCTTTACTGCTCGAAATCTCCTATTTGATCCTTGTATTATATTGATGTTTTTTCTGAATTTGCTTAAACATTAGGGGGTTTTTAACCAAAGAAATGAAGAGATTTGGTTGTTATGTGAAAATCTTCTAACCCATTATGGAGTAATTGGGCCTGGTGTTTTTTCTTTATTATTTTAATTTTTCGAGGCTCCTTGTATTTGTTTATGAATGATGAATTGATGTTATGTTCTGGAAAATCCGTCGGCTTCTTGGTTATTTTTAGTTTATTACTCAATTCTTATTCACTTTCAAATTTCAATAATGCGACAATAATTCTTTACCTTTCAGTTTTCTTAATCCTGTTTCGAAATTGGAATTCTTGGTCACAGCGTTGAAGAATATGTTTGGAATTTGAAGAATTATTTTAGTATCTTTTTTTTTTAGTTACAATATTGTTGCAATAGTTATTGACTTGGCGAAACTGTTTTTGGGTTTATAGTTGGGGCTGATGCCGATGAAGATAGGATTAAGCTTCTTCTTTCAGAAATTGCGGGTAAAGATATAACAGAGGTTATTGCAGCCGGCAGAGAAAAACTGGCTTCGGTGCCTTCCGGTGGCGGTGTTGCGGCTCCTTTGGCTGCTGCCGCCGGTGGTGCCGGGGGTGCTGCTGCTCCTGCTGCAGCTGAGACGAAGAAAGAGGAGAAAGTGGAGGAGAAAGAGGAATCTGATGATGTAAGTATTTACTGTCGTTGTAGTTTTTTTAAATTAGCATCAGTTGAATGATATAAAAGCTTGCTGGCATGGCTGATTTGAGTAAGAGATTTGCCTATTTACATACACGAACTTACTCCTAGAACTGATTTAATTAAAGCAAATAAACACTAGAATTGTGCGGTTGGGTATGAAAAGAGACCCCTTATAGTAGGAGAGTTTTGAACGGGTCAAATCATGTCAGAATCACATTAGATTAAGAAAAGTATGACAGTTTAATAGGATCCCGTTTCCGTTCCCTATCAAAGAATGCTCTATACACTTACAGAATGTTTAGTATGAGGATTCGTGTCATAGTTCGAATCATGATTCGTTGCTCGTTACAGTATTTTTTCTCACAAAAAATACACGTAAACTGAGAATGGTTATGAATCCATGAACCAAACGTTATATGACATACTTTTCATGATTTTTGAGTTTACCATAACATTTTTCCTTTTTGCAGGACATGGGCTTCAGTCTATTTGACTGAAGAGGTTGCAGTGCTTTTCTCTTTGCCAAACTTCTCATTCGATTTTGCGGTGGATGTCAAGATTTTTTGTCGTGTCTAGTGTTTTTTGGTTCATATTAAGTAGAGGAGAGGGTACATTTAACAGTTTTTTGGTTTCTTTAGTAATGTTTGGATTTTAGTTTTCTTTTACTTCAAGATGTACGGAATTTCATTTTAAATAGAGTTTGCAGTTATTGATAATGAATGCAATTTAAAAAATTTTTGCTTAGATCAATAATTTACAAGCATACGGTTACGGTACATGACGTGCAGACAGGATTTTAAGAACCCCAGTTTTATGAATTGTGCTTTACTTGGGATACACCTCGTTGGGGTTCTATGAATTGTGCTTGACTTGGGATATGTTTAGGCTTCGTTTACTTCGCGGATTCGAGTTTTCAATTCGAGTTGAGATGTAACATTTTCTGAGAGCTTTTCACTGTAGTAGAAAAAGTTAAATGTCACATTTTCTGATAACATTTTACTGTAGAAATCTAAAATTAAAAACTCGAATCAATGAAATGAACGAGGTCTTAATAATCCAAGACGGGTTTTGAGAAAAGTATATTTGTCATGGTTATGGTTTCATGCGTGCGTCATTAATTGGACGCTATTGTTGTCCTTTTCTTTTTATTAATTAAATGATAATTGTTTATTTTTTTAGTAGAGATAAATTATATTTTTTTACCAATTTCAGCAGTATTTTTGGATTTTTTTTTCCCGTAGCTTTTCTCACGAAGACCAGAAAATATGGTGTTACTTCGCATTCCTTTTTGCTCAAGTGCACAATTGTCGTTTCTTTGCTTGTGGTTTGTTAATAGATCTTTGTTGCTGTCGTTTTTATGTTCATGGATCACGTCGTTTTACTGTTAAGAAGCTTTATGGCACAAAATAAAGAGGTATTCATTTCGGTAGTTAAAATCACAATTTAAATTTTTATTATAGTATTTTTTTTTATAAAAATTCAAACTCAACATTTTTTATTACAGTGTTTTTTTTCACATAAATTCACTTTTTAATTTAATTTTTAACTTAAAAAAATAAAAAGAACGGGATTTTAGTATATTCTCTGCCTGTCTCAAGGCTTTTTATTTTTAGCATGTAACGAGAAACGGGATAGAAGATTTTCTTGCTCTACGGATGGAGTATTTGAACTCTTGTTTCGCAGTTTCAGGGTTATTTTCCTATAAAATTAGACAATCTAACCTCCTTAATTCACTTCTTTAGTTTTGTAGTCTCTTTTTGAATTTTATCTCTTTTAAGCGAATGTAAGATGAGAGAGAAAATGTAGCATAAATCTTATAGTATGTAAGTAAAAGTAGAGGTATAAATCTTTAGTCTTAGATTGCCAAGATGCAATGAGTTCAGAGTGAAATTTTACATAGAATATGTAATAGTTAAAGATTTCAAGTTAACCTTCCGAAATCATCCAGGTTTTATTTATTTATTTATTTATTTTAACGTTACGGGCTCCATTTCCATTTTTTCAGACCGAAAGAGGCTGCCACTATTTTTTTTTAAAGGGCTGCAGTAATTTTTTTTTGTAGATATTCATATGTATCATTTTGTTTTTTTCAAATAAAACTCTGCGAAAGTGGAATTCCTCCGAATCACCCAATTTTGTGCCATTTTTTATGTTTGCCGTGTCCAGTGGGTTTTAATTTAAATTTTTCAATTTTTATTCAATAAAGTTCTACACACATTTTTTGGTTAGCTCAAGAGTCGATGAATGCTCGCAGAACATACGCAATTATTTCTTAATCACATTTCAACAAAACATAATCTAAAGAGGAACAAATCATCAACATAGTAACAATCTCTTGTAAGAAAAAACGAAAGCCCGGCAATAGCCAATCTAGAAATGAATAGTAGGAAATCATTTTATCTTATTCCTGTCAAAGAAAAAGTTTAAATCTTGCTAGCAAAGGCAAGACCTTCGTTCTTGACCTGGTCTAGGCTCTCAACAGGGGGTTGGATCCTTGCAACTTTGGCAATGGCCTTGTTTTCGTCGGGATTGCCACCCTCTAGGAATGCTCCAACAACCTTGCCATCTTTAATCCAGTAAGAGCCGAACTTGGGCTTTGCAGATGCAGGGTTGTTGTCTCCAAAAAGCACAAATGGCCTTGTTTTCGTCGGGATTACCACCCTCTAGGAATGCTCCAACAACCTTGCCATCTTTAATCCAGTATGAGCCGAACTTGGGCTTTGCAGATGCAGGGTTGTTGTCTCCAAAAAGCACGGGCTCACCAACATTGTCGCCATAGAACTGCCACGACAGATCGAAAGCGCGGGAGTAGAAGTATGGGAGGTAGTCATATTCCTCGACTGGACCTACCCCCTCACTCGCCTTGATGGCCTGGCAAAAACAAGACAAAATTACATTCACAACTGAAATCCCAACTTGACGAAGGATTTCATCAATGGTTCACAACATATTGCAAAGTAAATGAATCAACATACCTTAACAGCCTGCTCAGCGGATTTGCGGGAATGGTCGACATGCTCGACCCTTCTGAGCTCATTGTACAATTTTAGTGGGAAAGTAGCCACATCTCCCACAGCATATACATTAGGAACACTTGTTTTGAAGAAAGCATCAGTCTACAACCAAACAACAGGAAAAAGACAGTATCATATAAAATGTCAAATAATAAACAGTCATTTATGAAAACAATCTTTGTAAGCTCACAGAGAAACTTGCATGGGATGTCTATGCAGTTCCTTTCTATGTCGTTAAAGAAAAAGAAAAATGCTTGTTACCGTGATACAAACCGATCAGACAAATTAATATTTGAAGACATGATAAGAAGATATAGGTCACACCATCACGCTGTGAAACATTAAGAGAGAGCATAGGGAATGAGAATTTTCAGAAGTAACACAAACCTTGATGCCACCTTTCTCTTCTTCAACTTGTCCCTTGAATAGTGTTGTAAGGGGCCTTCCTCCAACACCAACAACAACAATGTCGGCTTCGAGCACGGTTCCATCCTTGAGTTTCACTTCTGTCACCTGCACGGTGAGCAAAACTTCACTGTAAATAAAAGCTTAGTTTCGGAAAATGTCACTGTCAATATAACAAATTGCTGAGAATTTACCTCTCCCTTTTCATTAGCACTAAAACCAACTGCAACAGTCCCCTTGATAATTTTAATTCCTTTGTTTGCATAATAACTCTCATAGAAAGCAGCTATACCAGAGGTGAAAAGTCGGGGCACTGCAAGAACAGAAAAGGCATAATCAAGGACCCGAAATCTACCAAAATAAACGATCCAATAATCAAACAAATTCAAAATACACAAAACCTTCAAAAGGAAAGGCTTAATTCATATCCACTTACTGCACCAAGGTTCAGGGTAAACCATGCTGACTTCCAAATTATTAATTCTCAAAGCTGCACCAAGCTCAAGACCAATATATCCTCCTCCAACAATGACAGCTTTCCCATTCTTTTTTGCTCTAATTGCTTCAACAAGCTTATCAGCATCATCAATTTCTCTCAAGTAGAAAATGTTTTTGGCGTCAGCTCCTTGAACACCAAAGTCTGCCAATCTGATGACCTGCAGAAATAGTAAATATCATTCAGTTATGATTGCAAATATAGGTTGAAATTACAAGGGGGAGGGCCTTTCGGGAAGCTTTTAGATTCCTTACAGTAGAGCCAGTAGCAATGATCAGAATCTGATACTTGAAGGACTCCCCTGCTGCGCTTATAAGAGTTTTCCCAGCAAGATCTGCTTTAACTATTTCAGTACTAAGGATCAATTCTATACCTGTAATCACCAGTTAGCTGTGTCAGAGAAAAACTCCTTTCAACATTGCCTTGGACAGTTAGATATTATGAGAAAACTGATTGGACCCGTGATTAATGAGAGGGGAAATTACCATTCTCCTTGTACCACTCAGTAAGCAATCTCTCTCCTCCACTTCCAACACACACATGGAAACCTGGAAGTCTAGCAGGGGCTGCAAAAAAAAATAACATAAACTCCAGTCATTGAAAATGCGGAGCAGTGGAGTGAAGGGTGGTAAAAGCAATGACTCTAGCTCGGATTTACTTTGGCTATTCTATCTATACCAAAAAAAAATAAAAAATAAAAAATAAAAAGAGCAAACAAACTACATAGCTTACACTCGGGAAACAGATATGCCTTGCTGAGTGCAGGACGCTCGTAGGGAGCCACCTGGGAGAAAAACAAAGGAAAATATTTCATAAAAAAATTCAAAACTGATTTCAGGAGGTAATAAAATCAAGCACCGGCAACAACAGAGATAACAAGTTTAAAGCATAAAACAAGCACCATAATAATAGTCGTGCTGAAGAGAAACAAATACATCAACTTGTATCTCATTTCGTTCTATGACGCAAATTTCATGTTAAAGAACAAAACCGAGGCTGTCAACTGATATACTTACGAGTTAGAGCCTAGATACATAACTGCGTAGATTTTAATTTCATCCTCATCTATAAAATCACCGTGTTTAATTAACTGCTGTTCACGACTGAAACTAGTAGTTTCTGACACTAATCGTAATGCATAGCAGCATATGCGCATGGAAAGGCAGTTGAAAGCATACCGCTTCTTTGGAGATGATAGCTAGCTCGCCTGGCTTCACCCCCTGTTTGGCAAACTCCCTAGCTGCATATCCCTATAAAACCAAAAGCAATAGAACATGAAAAATAATTGAGAGTGAGTATTAGGAAAAGGAATTGTTAGAAAATATTTATTCACAGCAAAAGAAATAACAAAACTTTGAAATTGGTGGGCAATCCCTCTGAGAATATTTATAGTTTCTATTAAATTTTTACCTTGTAAAAAAATGAGGATCCTAATTAACTAAATTACAAAAGAGAGATGATAACGATATATCTCAACCAGAACTACGGTTTGTTGAAACTAATTGGTAAAAGTGCAAATTGTTATTATACTATTACTATTTTCAGAGATAATATTTTAAGATAAATGTCTCAATATACATTAGTGCGTGGATTTGCGAACAAAACAAGACCACTAATTTCTTACACAGATTCCATTGTCAAATAACATTTTATGCAACAAACTGGTCAACCATATCTAAGAACAGGAGCAATTTTCTTAGGCCTCATAACTTTAAACGACAGAATGAATTGAGACATTTTTGTCCATTAAATAAATTTCTCAAATTTCTAAGCAACCAAATAGAGAATTAGCATAAACAAACTCTTAATCCGCATATAATTAACTCAATTACATCTATAGGTATGTTTCCAGTTCACTAACACACTCATTAATAGCAAAAACTCTTCATTACTAGAAACAACTACAGCAAAATACGTCTGAAAAACATTCAAACCCAATAAGCATCTTCCAAATCAAATGCGAAAATCTTATACATCACAATAAGAAAACAGGAAAGAAAGGAAAATTCAAATAAAAAGAAAAATCATCAATAACCAGTGAAAATCTCCCAAAAGGTATGTTTCCAGTTCACTAATACACTCGTTAATAGCAAAATCTCTTATTTACCAAAGCCAACTACAACAAAATGAGAAAGAAGAAGATTGAAATTCAATCGACGTATAAAAATCAGACGCGAAAACTCATACATCACAAAAAGAAAACCAGATACAACCTAAAATTCAAACGAAAAAGAAAAATCATCAAATAAGCAGCGAAAATCTCCCCAAAAATTGCAAAAGAGAGAGAACAATCGCGAATCATAAATTTCCGTAGAAGAACATCAATCGATCGCGCGAAGACTCACCGCCGCGACTCCGCCGCCGACGATCACGTACTTGAAGCTCTTTTCCGCCATTGGAGTCCGATCGATCAGAAAGAGAAAGCTTCTTTACTATGCGACTTTTTTCGTTTCCCTATTTCGTTTCTGCAAAGGAAAATGAGAGATATATATAGCAAGACAAGAAGATGAGCTTCGCCGTTGGTCAGCTATTTATAGGGCAGCTGGGCTCTCCTTATTGGCCATTTTTAGACCGTTCAGTATAAACTCAATCGTCCACGTGGCAGATTCTACGCCGTCCATCTTTGCTGACTGGGCAAACTCCACGTCAACCGATTAAGAGCTTGTCTAGATTTGAACAGACGACGTTACGTTGTAATATTCCAGAGCTTACACCGCGGGGGTCTTCCGTGTGAACACAATTGATTCTTCTATTTTTTTTTTTTTTTTTATTTATAGTTTATGTTTAGTTTTCTGGATGATACCTAAAAAAAAAAAAAAGGGAAAGTGGAAACCCCTAAAAAAAAATCTCGTGGAAAAATTAGAAATCGACTTTTACCCGATTAAATCAGTTTATTTATTACCTTAAAATAACCCGTTTATTTGTTACCTTAAAATAACCCGTTTATTTGTCTAAATGAGGTTAAGGAATCTCTTGAATCTTTGATTAGGGGCTAGGATAAGTTTTTTCAGTTTTTATTTTGTGAAAATGTACATTGCTGAAAATAAGGGCAGGTTCAGATGCAAACCAGTCCTCTATAAATTGTTTTGAAATTAAGGTTTTTTTAACCTTTTTTTTTCTTTTTTTTTGGTCAACTCACCCTTATTAGATGTATGTTTGTGCATGGATTAAACATTTTTGATTCCCAAAATCAGGCCTAATCAATCACATTATGTTTCGTCATTTAAAATATTTAAAAATGATTTTTAATTGACGTTTTTATATTTTAATAGTTGAATCCATTAAATGATATGTCAATTGATTAGTAACTATTCCCAAAATCAGGCCTAATCAATCACATTATGTTTCGTCATTTAAAATATTTAAAAATGATTTTTAATTGACGTTTCTATATTTTAATAGTTGAATCCATTAAATGATATGTCAATTGATTAGTAACTCATTTGGGACAAAAAAAAAATAGATACAATGATTTTAATCTGTTTGTACATATTTTTGCATATATATGTGTATGTGTGTATTAGAGAATTAAGATGTTTTTTATGCAATTTAACATGAATCATTATTTCAAATTCAAACTTCATCTCGCCTTAACCTATCTGCTTAATCATTGACTAAATTGTTTTAGAATTATTTAATTAATCCTCTTTGCTTTTGCATACATGTGTGTGCACGCGTTTGTGTGCGTGTATGTATTTGAGAAAAAGTTTTTTAAAAAAACAACAATTTAGCATGAACCATTATTTCAAACTCAAGCTTTATCTCACCTTATCCTAATTATTAGTTAAATTGTTTTAAAACTATTAAATTAATCTTCTTTTGCAAAAAATAATCCTCGAACTGATTAAATTTTTTTAAAATGTGATATGAAAATATAAAAATAATATTTAATAGACTTACTAAAGATATGTTTAAAAAATAACCGGTCAAGGAGTTTTTCTTTTATTTTCTCAAAACACATGCTTTATTCATCAATAACATATTTAAGGAATAAAAATGGAACTTTTTTTCATCATTTACTTTATTTGCTTTTTTTACTTTTTGACGAGTGACAATTACGTGGACCAATAATTTCTTGATCTTAAAATGTAAAAAAAAAAAAAAAAAAAAAAAAAAAAAAAAAAAAAAGAAGAAGAAGGTGAAAGAGAACGAAGCGATGATGTGAACTGCAAAGGTGAATGTACAGTAGTGGGGCCGTGGAAGAAAATGAGATGTTTCAACTATAATGACGTCATCGATGATAACAAGTATATCATTGCTGTCGTTGCACATAGCTTCTTGACGAGTGGAAATTACCATCATACTGTAACATATGTCGGTCGTATTCTTAATGATAATGTCAGATGCAAAAAATAGTAATTCACACTAACTTTTGTCATTAATTTGGCCATGAAAAAGTTAATCTAACATTTTCCCGTGTGAGGTTGGTAATTAATATTACTACTGTGACCAAATCATTTTTTCCTAAGGATCGAATATCTTATGTTTAGTTTATATATTTAGAATCATAATTTAAAATTATTCTCATTTTATGTGTATTTTTTATGAGAAAAAATACTATAGAGAATTATAAATTATGACTTAAAATCATAGACGAATATAAGAAACAAACATTCCTTATAATTTGTTCGGATATATATGAAATTTTTGCTGGGAAGTTGGATATTGTAGTTATTAGCTAATATTGTGGGGTTACAGAACTGCCATTGATTTTGCTTTAAAAAAATAAAAAATAAAAGAGAGACCTTCACAAGATTTTAATAATGAGTGAAAATAAATAGACGATGGTATGAAGTTGGTTTATGGAACATTAATGTTGTGTTGGTAGGACGGAAAGAATAATGGTTTTTTTTTTTTTTAGATTATTATATCATTTTTTTTATATATAAAAAATTTATAACATTTTTAAATTTATGAACTGGACGAGTCAATATAAAAAAAAAAAAGATTAAAGGCGCGTTTGAAATTCGTTCTAAAATGATTTTGTTTTTTGTACGAAAATGAAAATGAAAACGTTTTCAATCTCAGACAGAAATCATTTCTAAAAATGCGTTCGGTAGTTTTATCAGGAGATTGTTTTCAGTGTAAAAAAACCTATTAATGTCTATATTTCTCTCTTTGCTCGAGAGATGAGAAAATGAAAACAAAAAATGAAAAATGACTAAAAGTCGTATTTCATTTCTCTCTCATTTTACACTAAATCAAAAAATCGTTTTCATTTCCATTTTTTGTTTTTATTGCGCCAAACGCCGTTTTGAAAACGTTTTCATTTTTTTCTTGAAAAATGTAAAAAATAAAAACGAGATCAATTTCAAACATGGCCTAATACTCTTTAGAGTGTTGTTGATACCCATTTTTTCACAAGGCATAAGCCCAATCCATATCCCACGATATGGCTCAAGGTACGGTACGTGGGCTCAAGGTATGGTACGTGAGCTCAAGCCATATTTCGGGGATCTTCAAGTGGGTTGCGGTTTGGAAGGTCAGAGAACGTAATTAGGCCTGTATTATTCCGTTTGATTACACTCGTCGTCTACTTTGGAGGTTTCAAGCCTATGAGGATTCGGAGTAATTTAGATGACGTTTGGTTCATGGATTCAAAATCATGATTCAGAATCATTCTCAATTTATGTATATTTTTTGTGAGAAAAAATACTGTAACGAGTCACGAATCATGATCCGAACCATAGTATGAATCTACCAACCAAGCGCACCTTTAGGTTGCAGAGGAAATCAAACCAAAATATCAAATTCCTTTACATCCAATTCCTAGAAAATCTGGTAAGCCCAATCAGCCCAAAAATCATTATAAAATTCAGAAATAGTAGAAAATAGGTCAATATGAAAAGTTTAGGGAAGTATATAGGCTAAATTTTAGTTATAGAAATTAATATGCCATAACTTGTTAAGTTATGATTCATAACCAGATAAATTATAGACAAATTTGTCAAGTTATGGTTCATAGCCAGACAAGTTATAGACAAAAACCGTGATTTATAGACAATAACTTGTCAAGTTATGGTTTATAACTAGATAAATTATGGATAAAAATAGTAATTTAACCTATTTATTAACTTATACAAATTATTAATCTATTAATTTTAATTCTATCTTAAGTCTTGATTTATTTTTCTTTTTGCATAGACAATAACTTGTCAAGTTATGGTTCATAACTAGATAAATTATGGATAAAAATAATAATTTAACCTATTTATTAACTTATATAAATTATTAACCTATTAATTTTAATTCTATCTTAAGTCTTGATTTATTTTTCTTTTTGCATCACCTGAAGCCCATTACCCAAAATTAGATAAAGCCCACCAGCTCCATTCACTACAAAACGGCACTAAGCATCTCCTCCTCTTTTTTCTTTAATTGCTTTCTATTGTTCCCTCTGCCAAGTCAACACGTGAGCCCCAAAACCTGCTGCAAACATACATTAAACAAGGAAAACTCTTTTTCAAGGCATGAAAACCCATCTGCAAACGTCCCAAAAAGGCCACTCCTAAACATACACAATAAATGTTGTCTAAAGATGCCAAAATACAAAGAAAAGGAAAGACCGTCACTTTCAAATTCACCTTGAGAGAGGTCTTCCCGCGTCAGGTGCCTTCCACAATTAGTTTACACCATAGAATTAAGCTTGTAACCGCTCCCAACTGATAGCTTTAAGAGGAAACCCACCAACCAAACCAAGGAGGCCTCTGGTTAATCAATCACCCATCATTTGGCTATAAATACCAGCTTATTTGCACCTCAAATCATGACATATGATCCCAATCTAATCCATCTCAGAGCAAAAACAAGACAAAGCTCTTTCACTTGAGAAAATCCTTCTCTTCTCCGTTATTTTCGGTGAAGTTCCTCCAAATTGGCACTCCCAAAAGTTCTTCCCCACTCAAAAAACAGCATTATCTTAAACCATGACAACGTCCAAAACACACATCAATGAGCTGAACACTCAATAATCACGACCACTGGACGAACTCAACCTCCATAGTTTCCCGGTAGAGACTCTATAATCCGTTTTTCAGTTCTCTCCCCGTTGGAAGCAACTAAGTCTCCCCAATCTCTCGAAGCATGTCCATCAATCATTCCCAAGCTTAAAACCAACATTATAAACAACCATGAATGATTTCATCTCGTCTGGCTGATCTTCACCTCTAATGACGGAACTGCCTCATCGAATACAACACACAAGGCTAAAACTTACCCAAATACTTCAAAATTACATCTATACAAGGCTCAAAGCATCCCAAAACACACCCATTTATAATTTCCAAGCACAAAATGGCATCAAAATGACTACAAAACACTTTCTTTGGTTTGGTTGATTTCTAACTCCGGTGACGAAACCACTGCTAGACGTAAAATACACAATGCTACCAAAATTTCCCAATCATTTATCTACGCCTATGGACGCCCTCACACTGCCACAAATCTAAATAAAACCTCCTCCACAAACTAATTACATTCCTTTC